GTTATGGAGATGTTTAAATATTTTTATGACTATATCTGACTCAAGTCTTGCCAAAAATGTTTTTTTATTAAGTATATTAAAAACACTAAAAGTACAAATATAAACTACAGAAAGCTTTTCAAAATCTTAACAGTAGACACAGTGTATAGTGTTATATCTAGATTATACCGTGTGTGTGTGGTTGGAGGTGGTTATAAGTTTTATCGTGCATTTATCGTTATGGAGGTGAACTGGTCAATATATCGTGATATTGATTTTAGGCCATATTGCCCAGCCCTAGTTGCAAGTTTAATAATGAAGTTCAGTAATCCTGTAATGAAGGCTTGATTAGCTACTTATTAAAAACACCAACACTGAACTAAATACAGACTTCAGCCAGAGGAATAGTTGTCCTCTTTGTTGTAAACCAAGTAAGTTTTATTGTTCAGGAAGCTTTTTGTGTCKGTTAGGTTTCAGTGAGTCATCTTGCTGATTGAAACTACTTGAGTCCACACAGATGATATATTTTTATGTCCATCCTYTTGTTTTATTTTCCTCCTCAGGTGACAAGCGGCTTCGAGCTCTACCTCTGCTTCAGTCCTCTGGCAACCAAGGCCTTGGCCGTGTCTGCGGTCATCAAACTGCTGAAGTGGATCAGGAAGGAAGAAGACCGCCTTTTCATCCTGAGTCCACTCACATACTGAGTCCTCGCTGCTGCCTGACCTACCGAGACCAAAACAAACAAAAACAAAACAGGGGCTTCGTTTTCACTGTGTGGCCTGATGCCAAAACCCACATCAGATGGAGTAGAAAGCATTTAACTGTAGAATGATTGTCAGAGCTATGCATCTCTTTAATCCTGGGCTATTTATCATTTAAAGCTTAGGTTTGTGATTTAACAGGCTGTGCTATGAAGGTAAATTAAAGCAGTATTTTAAATGGGTAGATTTGTATTTTAGAACTTTTAATTTTGATTACCAGGTGAAAGCAGCATTAACACTGACGACTCATCAAAGCTGCAGTTTGTTTGCTGTCGAGTTCTTAACGAACAATTGTTTTACTGTCACAGAGCTTTCATGAAATACCAAGTTGCTGTTTGTCTGTTTTAATGCTAGGAGTTTTCTTTCTACAAACTAAAATAAATAAAACTGGATCAAAGAAATCTGGAAACGCAAGCAAAACTCTGCAAAACCTGTTAGCCACATTCCTGATGTGTTCTCTTATGATTTTGTACTTCTGTTCTGAATAAAAGCACTTAATGAAAGATACTGGATACTGTTTTTGTTTTATCATTGAACATATTTACTAATAAGCCAGTTTAGCACTCTGTTAATTTACCTGTTTTTCCTGTCTATRAAACATTCAATAATTGTCCCACTTACTTTCAGTTTCTGACCAGACACATGGGTAATGTCTGAGAGGGGCCAACATCAGAGTGAGCTYCTGCTGTAATGAAATGATTTTGAAAAAAAAAGTGTGTGTTTGTGTGTATGTATGTATGTATGTACAAATAAAATAGCATTTGCATGATCTCAGTGTAACAGAGGTACAGTGAAATGGCCATGGATAGATCTAAGCAAGATTTGTGGCTGCCATCTTTCTAGGTGCTACACAGTGTATTGTTTACAAATCACAGCCACACTTTGGTAATGCCTTGTGCTTTTAGTATGCTGTGTAATCAGCCCTAAAACCGCAGACAAAAAGAAACCTAAATAAGCATATCAAGCTGATGGTGAAAACAAGTGACGAGTGTTCTGTAGTGAACCTCCCACCAAGCTGGGTCAAGCTCAGGACCAGTGCTCTGCCTGTACTGTATTTATTTATTAACCTTTATTTAACCAGGCAAATRACAAATCACTGATCTCTCTTGCAAGCGAGGCCCTTGCCTGAAGGCAATCTGATATGTATTCTCTTTTTAGATTGTGAGAGGAAATTGAAGAAAACCCACGCAAATATGAGAACATACAAACTCCACAGGAAGACCCTTCCTGCTGTGAAACTGCTCAGTCATTAGCTATTCCTGTGTATTTCTATGGAATATGACTCATTAGCCATCACGTTGCCATTAATAATACAATTAACCAGTGCGACAATTATTGTAACCCAGGGGCGGGGTCACAGGGGCATTGGCCCCAGCTGATTGACCCCCCTTAAGTGCCCCTGTCCTGTCACTCGTCTGTCCTTTACCCTGGAGTGATYGTGGTGGATGCAGTTCCATGTTCAAACACTAGTTGCGCTAATGAGTCAAGATTCAAGTAGTTTAATTGTCAATGCTTCATATGTGCAAAACACAGAGAATTGAAATTGRGTTACTCTCTTTCCCAGTTACAACATTAAACAAGTAATCAACAGAAATTGCACAATCCAATAACATTGTGAATGAACAAAAAAGTGACAATAAATGTGTAATACAATATGGACACAGATACAGATGAATTTGTGACATCAACACAAAAATAACAGGAAGTGGAGGGGTACTCAGTAGTGCAAAAATAAAGATCTTTATACAAGAAAAAGTTGAATATTMCAATTATAGTGGAATAGAAGCTTAATGCTGGTAAAAGTAATGTGAAGGATGCATATGAGTGTCAAAGCGATGTGTGCATACAATTCTCACAGTTGAGGGAGCGGGGTGGGGCTGGGGAGGGTATAGCGGTAGTACGATATGTGCAAAAGTCACGTACTTCCAAAATGTCCAGTACTGTATCAAACGGAGCAGGGTTAGTGTGCTCGAGTACAGTGTGCTGCAGGCAGGGAGTGAGTTGAGCATTCTTATAGCCTGGTGGATGGAGCTGTCTCTCAGTCTACTGGCCTGGAGACTCTGCATAATATATATATATATAC